TCTTTCTTTTTTTTTTTTACGGGTTTTCTTCCTCACGTGTCTAGCAGCTAAATAGGGGCCACTTTCAGCACAAATCCTCCCGAAAACTATCCAATCTTAAGCCGATTACTAATGTGTCGCGTTGCTGTATTCAATCAAATCAAACCCCGCCAAACTAATTAATTTATAAATATATTTTAAAATATTTTCTATATTAGTCTACATTTAATGAAATTATTAATTAGATAATAATTTTAGAGAAGAAGCCTCCTGGTCGCTTTAGGAGGCCTAACTTCCCGCTTGCTTCTGAATTGCTACTCAAAATTCTGTTGAATTTGATTGATAGTATAAAATAAGAATGCCATTCGAACGATTTGAATTTAACAGGCAAATAATTCGAATTTCTTGACTATAAATTGAATTAACTGATTAAGATCTTATCAATTATCGCATTCTTTGAAATTTTTTTAAAAAAATATTACCGCATATTGCACATGGCTCACAAAATTTACGACTATTCTGATTTTAACGATAATATTGGAACAGCTGGAGATAAACTTGTGGTCGTAACTTTTATCGGTTCTTGGTGCAAGCCATGTATTGAAATGGATCATATCATCGATGTTATCTCCAAAGAAAATAAAGAAATTATCTTCCTAAAAGTTTATGTGGATGAAAACGAAAAACTTGCAAATGATTTCGATGTAAGCTGCTATCCTACTACAGTTTTTATAAAAAATGAAAATAGAATCGATGAATTACTCGGATCCAATGAAATTGCTCTTCGAGAAATGATCAGAAGATATCAAGCAGTGAGAAATTAGACTTTCTTCTTATTATAAATCTTTCTAAATTGATATTTATAACAACAAAGCATGAAAAATATATCCAAGAATGCATTAATAAATTTTAATGGCTACTACCATTTGAAAGAACTTTCTCACAATTTTTAAACTTATGATTGAATATTAGTTTATAAAATTCAGTTACACAAATTATTTGAAATACTTATTTGAATACTTAATTTTGAAATAAATACAACAGAATTATTACTGATATTAAAGTTTTTTAGTATGTAAAGTTTGCGATAGAGGCGAGGGAAAAGTTTGATTCGAAGTTAATTCGACTCAAATCAAAATATACGAGGGATAAGGGACGGTATGTGGGTGATGGTGAACATACTGATGCGAAGTACTTTTATAAATGAAATCTGTTTATTCGGAAATAAACTGGTAGCTTACAACTTCGTACAGAAAATGCTCCACTCCAACTATGATCAAAGAGTTCAATTTGTTTCCGGCTAAGTTCCTCGATGTGTCGGCAGTCCCGGGCAATGTCGTAAGAAAGATTAGGGGATAGGCAGTAATTAGTCCGAGGACGGGTGACAATACTGCGGTTCAACAAAAACAGAGGTGACATCGATAATAAGACACAAGCACAGAAGAGATATACAAATTCTCCTCGCAAAATTGGCGGAAGGAAATCTGCCAAGTTGGAAACAACAATTCCTCGACGTTGGAGAAAGCCGGATCCGCTTTGTCCTTGAAATTCGGGGGGTTTTTAAAGAATTTTATCCTCGAATTCCATGTTTCGATTGCTCCCAATCCCCTCTCGTTGATTCCCTATTGGTTTCTTACAAATTGATTTGAGTAAGATCAGATCGGGTCATGAGAAAAGTCAATCTTCTGTATTCAACTCGAAACCGCATATATGTTGTTCGAACTTTGAAACCTAAACTCGTATTTTACATTGTTATAAATCTCGTTCTGGCATTTAAGAATTTTAACTGCAACACGAGACATTTTTCGCCCGATAAACTATTCTGTTTTCTCTATTAAACTAAATTCTTTCATTTTTACTTTCCTGGCTTTTTAATATATAACAGAGGGAAAATATGGCTATCGGTCAATTTTGACCTACAAGATTTTAAAATTTTTGAACTCAGGGACCTTGAAACGTCGAGAAATGCAAAAAAACATTCGAGGTTTTTCTCTATGTATGGTTGTTAATGTGTGTGGAGGGCAAGATTTTGTTCACCCTATTTGAAGCTTAATATCTCCTGTGCTTCTCGTCAAAAATTTCTAAAATTTTGCAGGGAGATTTGTGTATTAGAAAGATTGATGGTATTAAATTTTTGTGGTTAAAGATGTAAGGGTGGGGAGATAAAGAGGAGGTCATATGTCGTATTTCGAGTAAGGTTGGACTTAATGAAGATTTTACTCGTTATTATCATTTACGATTCTTTATAAAATATGACCCTGACATTAAAGTTAAGTTTTTTTGCCATTTTATAATAATTAAAAATTTAAAAAGTTTTTTAAAATAAAATATCGTAACAGATGGTAAACTTTTATTCTCCATAATTTATTCTTAAAATTCTTTTAAAACATGTTCAAGTTTATTAAAAGTTGCTAAATAAAATATTTTGATAACGTTTTTTTGAAATCAAATTAAAACTTTAAATCATAATTATTATTATTATTTTAATAATTTAAACTTATTAATCGTCTTTGATGTTTTTATTTTTCTTAAATTCCTTTCCAAAGTGAACAACAACTCTTTTAAATTCTTCCGAGTTCATTTCTGGATTTTTTTCTTGAATCTGATTCCATATTTGATTAATATCACTAATTAAAAAAAATTGTAAATATAAATAAAAATTATAAGCTAATATATCATAATATTCTTCAATTTGAATAAGACGTTATATTACCTTTCTTCTCCCTTTCCAATTGTATTTAACAATGATTCGAAATTCTCTTCTTCTTTCTTTTCCTGAATTATTTTCTTTTCTAAAAGTTCTTGTTTTTTTAATTCTTCTAGATCTATACCCAGATATAAAGCTTAAGAAAATTGATAAGAAAATCTTTGTAACAAATATATATTAAAAATTACAGTAAAAATTTTAATAAATTTTAATTACCATAACCTTCAATGAATTCTTCTTCATTTATATATCCATTCTTATCCTTATCTAGATGGCTGAAAACAACTTCTAACTGATCTGGTGTTAACAAGAATTTATCATGATGTTTCCATAGATCTCTCATGGTAATAAATCCATTTTTTCCCTCGTGACAAATATTAAAAAGTTCAGTAGCTTCTTTAATAAAACTTTGAAAATTATTCTCTACGTTCTTTGTAACATATCGATCCATATTAAACTATAAAACATTTATATCTTAAAAAATTATAATAATTAAATAAAAACCTATTATTTACTCACAATTTTTACTCGTTTAAACCGTATCATTTACTTTTAAATCTCTATCTTCTCATTAAAAATAATTAAATAATAAACTTTAAATTTATTTTTTTAAAGTTAAAAACTACAATGAATGCAACTGAAATAAAAAAAACAACGAAATTTTATATACATAGAATTTATTTTCTAATTATAAGTGACAACACCTGCCATGATTACAGATGCTCAGTTTTAGTTAAATCGTTTAAATATATAATTATTGAAATATTTAAATCTAATATAACTAATAAAATTTATAATTTTATAAAAATAAATTAAAATCATTTACTCTCGGTTTTATAATTACGATAACTTTATTTTTTTTTTAAAAAAACTTTATTTAGTTTACGAATTTTAATTAATTTTTTACGATATTATAATTAACAATATGATAATTTATAATTATTACTTATAGCTTTATAATACACAATAATATATGCAGTAGAAAATAGATTATCCGTAGAGGTTTGTAAATAAATATATAAATGAAAACAGAGAATCCTGCATTATACATACCACAGAGTATAATACACGTAAACAAAAATCCCCTTGTAATACGTCATCTGTCGATTGTAGCGCCGCGAAACTAGACCATATACATAGCATTACATTAGATTTTCAGTAAATTAATTTACCTTCACTACATTAATGGTATTTTAGTTAACCTTGACACTATTCTTTATTCAACATTGTAGTTCTGTTTATTTTAAACAAGTAAGAAAAACTAATTTTACATTATATCCGCTTGTAACTTAGATCAAATTAAGAACTTTATTTTGTGATTAGTTATTGTTCGATTCTTTAATATTCCCATAGATTAATTGACAAAAACGTAATTACTAACTAAACTACATATAAAACTCAATTAAAATCTATTCATATTTTGAGTTTATAAATCTCAAAACGATTATTTTAAATCACTTCTTGAAAAGATTTGTATGTATTCAGTTTTCTAACGGTTTTATGAGTGCAGCTACGAATTACACTGTATATATATATATTTTTTTTTCAATACTTTTATGATATTTGATGAATATGTTCGTATTATCTCTGATGATATGTTTACAGTAGTTTTAATAAGCTCTAGAAAGACGTAATTGCAATACATATAACAATAATTTGAATATTCAGAATAGAGTAATCNTCTAACGGTTTTATGAGTGCAGCTACGAATTACACTGTATATATATATATTTTTTTTCAATACTTTTATGATATTTGATGAATATGTTCGTATTATCTCTGATGATATGTTTACAGTAGTTTTAATAAGCTCTAGAAAGACGTAATTGCAATACATATAACAATAATTTGAATATTCAGAATAGAGTAATCAATGTAACATATGATTGATGGTTCTGTCAAGTTTTTTAATGGATTAAGAAAAGGGAAACCCAACGACAAAGGTGGGCACGTGTGCCAAGTGCCCCAATATGTATGGGAGCTCCTGAAATATATAAACCATTACCTTCTTAAGTTTTCTTCGAATTCGGGAAAAAATCCTAATTTCTCCTCCTGGATTCGCCCATAATTGTTTAAACTTTAAACAAAGAATTGAAAGATCTGAAAATCTACTTTATAGGCTAGATTTTTGATAATTTTTTCAGAATTATAGCAAAACAACTGATTATTTCGATGATATATTTTTTTTAATTAATACAAAACACTTGGAATAATTCATTCCTAAATCATTCAAACAAAATTTCAAATTTAATAAAACAGATTTTTCTCATGAATATATATTTTTATTTTATTTTCTCAAGAGAGTTCGAGTATACATAAAACTACAAATGACTAAATAATCATAACATATATCAAAGTGTATAGATGAAAAAAACTTCCACAAAAATAAAAATAAAATTGATTTTGAATGTAAAAAGAATGGTATAAAAATATAATGGGAGTAGTTTTGACTCCATTTTTATGGATTTGCCTGGAAAAATAAGAATTTATTTATTGTAGAATTTATATAATATATTAATTTAAATAAATAATAACTTCTTAATTAAATATAATTAAATATAATTTAACAATTATTAAATTTTGATACAGTATAGGAAGCATGCGAATATGGCCATCAAGAGAATCAAAATAAATTATGAACATCTTGAAAACATATTCAAAGACTAGAAAAAAAACAAACAAAAGTTATATAAATAAGACAATCTGTTAGGTTTTTTTTCATGTAGAAGAATTAATAGAACTTATAGTTGTGTTCCACAACCCAAATAAGTTATTAAAACCTGTGGAAGAGATAAACAATGAGAACGATAGTATAGAGTAATATATCGAAATGTATTCTGTCTACCGCATTGGTATTGCTTGATTCTTCCATATCCCATTCGTAATCACCACAAAATCCGTTAAGGATTGGTTGAGCAGGAATTCCTCTTCTGTAAGTAAACAAAATCGAAAAGAATTTGAAGAATATTTAATAAATTAATAAACTTAAGACCCATATCAAATGATAATATACCTTAACATTCTACATCTGTGTTCGTCTAATCTAAAACTAGCACTGTCAGCATCGTTAATGTTTTCTGGACTCCATAATCGTTCGGCAACAGCTGAAGCACGTGGCCTGTAAACATTTAAAATTTTTAACATATATTCTAATATATAAATAAATGATAAGACACGTGAAAAATGCAAACAATAAGTTAATAAAAAAGCAAATTTCATATTGCTTTTAGACATCACAATGTAATATCGTGTTGAATCAAATTCAATTCAACACGATTCTTTAAAAATTGTAAACAAAAGATATATAGTAAAATAATCTATCAAATTTACCATAAACGAGACAAAATATTAGTAGCATCAACATATTCTCCCCACATACAGGCTTCTCCGCCGATTATCAAATTCTTCTGTTCCTCGGTAGCTAAAGAAAACAATTCACAAACATATATAAATAAGATATTCCATGAAATACAATGTAATAAACTAATTGTGAAGAAGATAATACCATTAAATCCTCTTGGATCGCATTTATAATATTTCTTCCAATCTTGTCCATAGCTAATGTAATTCAGATACCAACATGAAGACAATACCATCTGATAACCTTTTTGAGCTATAGGCTCGATATATTCTTGCCATTTTTTCATTTTTATATCTAATTCTGTATCTTTCCATACCTGAACGATCGTATCAGGTTCAGCCTAAAGAAAAGTCATTAAAATACTTAATTTCTGTAATAAACAGTTAGAAAAAGAAACAAATTTATTAAAGGAATATTACCACAACTCCATTATCGATGGGATCTTGCCATATCATATATTTATAACCAATATCTTTCACATTGTGTAAGGTTCTATTTACATAATATGTTTCTAAATCGCTATAATCTTTCATGTTATGTTCTTCCATAAATTTCTTAATTTCGGGATTTGATTTCCTGTAAAGATTTATACGTTATTTCTAACAATATCTCAGCTTAAAATTGCTTATGGATAGAAATATTCCTTACCAGCAAGCATAATAAACTTCGTCCATACCGAGATGAATGTACTCATCCGGGAAAACACCTTTCACTTCTTCGAAAAGAGCTTTGAAGAAATCGTAAGTGAAATCTTCCATTGGATTAAGAATTTCAGCAGAAGCATGTTCAGTGTAATTTGGAGTATAGGGCTTATCAAGTCCTTCGCCATAGCATGGCGTCAAAAGTTCTATTAAAAAAAATAAAATAAAATGTTTAATCTTGTTTTACAATATATTAAATATATAAAATGCAAAGTTTTAATTACGAGGGAAAGCTTTTCCGATTGCTTGTGTATGTCCCGGTGTATCAAATTCTGGAATGACTCTTATACCACGAAGTCGTGCATATTCTATCACTTCTTTGATATCTTCGTAGGTATAAACGTGTTTAGGACTATACGCTCCCTGAATACAAAACATTTTTTTATTTATTGATTTCAACGAATTTAAAACACAAACTTCATTCAAGAAAACATGCTTACAACAGTAGTTAGATTGGGATAAGTTTTACTTTCAAATGGAAACGATTGATCATCAACTATATGCCAGTGAAATACATTAAACTTGTTATATGCCATGGCATCCTGAAAATAACATTAAAATTACAGTCTAAATCAACGTATAACTGTACATATTACTGATGAAATTAGAGAAGTTATATATATTAAAAGTAATTTTTGTTTACTTCTACTTACCAAATTTTTTTTCAGAACCTTTTTTACTTGGAAATGACGAGATGTATCTATCAGAAGTCCTCTGTATTTATATCTGGGTGCATCTTCAATTTCGGTAATATTGATTCTATACTGTAAACATAAAGTTTGGTATATAAAATAACGATAAACATCACTTTTTAAAGTTTTAAAATTCATACTTACTGCATTTTTTCTATCTTGATATACAAGTTGACTGAATGTTTCTAATCCTATTTAGTAAATATAAAATTATTTTTATATTGAATTAGTTAATTTTTAAAATTTTCTCTACTTAATTCGAATATATTATAAAATATTTTTATTGACAATTTCGAATATGATCTAAACTTGGACTAGTACGGAATTCATTCCTTTACTCATATTGGCTCATTGCCTTCAGGTTTAAAAGTAATGAGTAACTTTAAGATCATTCACCAGTGACCATCACTTTTGAATGATCTTAAAGTTCAGGATAACATCGTGATAGTTAGTCTTGGGTTCATGCTTTGCCACGTGGAGTTAACCGGGTTTTCTTCACATATACATGTCATCGTACTTTGCCGATCACTGATGTATCAAATGTATATAGATACATGATAATTTTGATTTTGCATAGCCCTACTAACACCTAATTAGGGGTTAGTTTCTCATAGAAAGTACTCCCGGGAGACACCTCTTTGACAGTTCCTTCAAGTGTTGCGTTACCTTCTTGCACCAATATAATCTAAATCCAATTCAATCTATTGCATAACTCATAAATAGGCCTTTCAGTAAAAATCTAAACTACTTGCTTCTCGTGTTAATTAAAAACTGTTTAAAATACACACCTCTTAATGCTCCCCAAACCGTTTCTGCTTGAATTGTAGAAATTCCAGATTCAGGAACACTGAGTAAATCTAAAAAAAAAAAAAAAAAATTGTAAATATAAATAAACCTACATCTTTCTTTTAATAATACAAAATACATACATTATGTCTATAACTCTAAATCTTTTTGAGCAATTTAAGAGAAGAATAGAGCCTATTCTAATATAAATCGAATTGGAACACTTCCGATAAAAGTTCCAGAAAATGGTATGAAACTTCTATCACAAAAGTTCGAATTCTATTCGTTACTTTACGTAACTAAAAGTATGGACATGATTTTTCGATTCATTTCCATATTCATGGTTATGTAAAGTAACATTCCTTGCCAAGCAAACAATAAAATTACAAAAAAAATAGAATTATTTTATAATTATCTGTCTAAATAATGGAAATTGGTCACATGATTGGAATCCAAATTTTACTGAATCATCACCCGATTCTTATTAACATACAATAGATTTATCTCTTTTCCTATTTTAATATAGAGACTACGCCTATTACAACAAGAATTTAATAGATTTTATAACGTTTTTTTAAGTATTTTAAATTGAATTTCAAATTAATATTTAAAGTTAAAGTTTGTTTTTCTATTAACTTAATGATTAATAATAAAATGCAAGATATTTTCATGATTACATGATTCGTCTTGGTTATGAGAAGGATATCCACAATCTTTCTTGTCCAATTTTCGAATATCGACGTTCAATCCTTTCAGAATGGGAAGATCTTCGTCTTTCTTACCATTTCGCTTATCTATGAGAATATAATCTCTGTATCGTTTTAGACCTTCGTCGATAACGTCACAATTCTTCATATTTGTTGACAGATAGAAAGTATTCGGATCTATCGTTAATAATCTTGGAGATGCCTTCCATTTTTTGGGGAATGGCCAAGGACTTCCTGGTGGGGATTTCTCTCCCTTTAAAAAAAAGAAATGATATCTTAAAAATTGAATATTATATCAATTTCAAATGTTAATCTAGGTTAGGCTATTTCATTTTTTCCTTGCCTTTTTAAGAATTCTCATTAATTTCATTCAAACATCTTAAGAGTTACGCGAAACGGTGCAATCGTGACCTACTTTCAATTGAAAGGTTTGATCAGGAAGTTACTGTTATAAGATAATTATTTCACGTTTCTGTATTTCATTCCCAGGATATAATGTATTTTTAACATATGTTATTTATATATTATTGTTTTTTATTTTTTTAAATATATACAAAATTATCATGGAGGAAAAATGCAAGTTTCTACCTTAAGACAATATTTAATTTACAGATTAGAAAGTAATAAATAACATTGAATTAATCTCTAATTGAATGAAACAATCGAAGGATTTTCATATTACTCGACCTTCAAACTAATCCTTGTCGCTAGTAAGACATGTATTTGGAAATTTCAATGATAACTGATAATAAGCTAAGATGCCTGAAGTGATTTATGTAATTTAAATATAATAATAATACTAATAATAAAATTTGATCCGTTTAACGAATAATATTTATCATTAATTTAACAATTTTATTTGTTACAATGTACAGAGTTCGATGTAAAAATTATAAATATACTTACAGGTAGAGGATATTTAACTTCGATGTAAGTAATGTATGCATATGTTAAACTATAACAAAGTGTAAAGATTGTTAGTAAATAATGCATCTTGTCGACTTCTTCGAATTCAACTGAAGTAGCTGCAGAGAAGTATTTTATTCTTGTAACCTTTAAACGGTTATAAACAGGTTAAACCGGATATCACGTGATTATAGCAATCAAATGAAAAATGCAACAGTAATACTGTAATATCACTAATTAATTATACGAAAACCTTTTGAATTTCATGTAGCCTTAACTTAATGTATTCATTTTGAACTTGAAAATTTTACAGTGTCGATTTTTATTTACTTTATAATTCAATAAGAAAAAGTTTAATGTAAAATATAAATGATAAATTATATATAAATAAGTTTAAATTTTTAATATATAAACATTAAAATAATATATATTTTGAGATTTTATGATTAATGCTAACAATTTTATACAATTAATTCAAGTTATTAACTCGAATGGAAGTTAACATTTAATTTTTAAAGCATTAATAGACCATATTATATTTGTTTCATTATACATTTATGCAATAGAAATTTAAATACATTTAGCTCTTCAGAACTTGTGACCTCTTTTGTGACCTCACAACCTACAGATACTCCAGTTTTAAGTATGACAAAAAGCTTATAGAAAGTAGAAAAAATACTTTAATAATTAAAAGAAAAAATATTTTTTAAATAAAAAAATAGTTTTTTTTTAAATTGTAAACTATAAAAATAATTCAAAATTACATTACATTAATATAAGAGAAAAAATAAATGAAAGTATTTATAAAATGATATTCTCTGTACTGAAGAATAATTGCATTTTAATACCATTTTAAAAATAGAAATAGAAATTATTCGGTGATTAAGATAAAAATCGCAGCTTCTTTTTTTGTTTTTCGAAAAATTTAAGTACTTTCAAGGATTTTTTTAAAAGTTAAAACTTGTTCTAAAATATGTGGTCGAGACTTCTTTTATTCGTTTTCACGTATTTATAAACTAGAAAATCGATTATTTTTAAACCGTAAAGATATTGTTGAACTAAAATACATCTTAAAATAGTTAATTTTATTAGTATTTTTCATTTATATTACACATACATACATAATTTTATCGCTAGAAACACGTAATATCACAATTTCCTTGTGA